TTTGTGTTTAGGTTGGTTATAGGCTATCTCGTACCTTTGTCTATGGAACTACTTCTCCCAACTATATTCAACTGAATGACTGATTGGAGAGTAATTTTTGTAATCATTTTATAACTTGATGATGTGACTAACATTTTATTAAGTCAACATCTCACATTGGAGATGCTATTAGGCTCTTAGCTGTTTTCTAGTATGTAATTTAATATTTTTCTTTAATGAAAGTCTATCGTTTAAAGAAAAAAGACAGTCCTAAATTCCTAATTACATATTTCCATCCCCTATCCTCTTAGAAAATTAAATAAAAAGTTATAAAATTATTTTACATTTCGACCCTCCATTAAAATTATAAATTATAATTTCAGATTTTGTGATGTGTGCATATCGAAAGAAAGAAAAATATTTTTTACGAGCCAACAGCCCTCAGACCCACCCTTCTCAGGTCAGAACACAGTACAAATGTACAACGATATTTCTAGCGATGTCATTGCTGTCCCTCTAAGACACTGCCAATCTTAAATTCCCAGCAAAAAAGTGATAAATCTCTTCGGTATTATTCTGTTTTATTTTCCGTGCTTTAATTAGCGCGCCTTCTTCAATTGGGACATTATTCTGGTAGATTTTTTTAACCATCTTTTTTTTTTTTTCAATTGGGTTTATTTTGAGCTTGGTTACCCACTACATATGTAACTTTCATATTCATTAGCGATTATTTGCCGTTAACTAGGATAATTTTAAGGTGAATCTCATAGTGTGTTAATTTTATTAAATCGAGGAGTTGCTGTTCTTTGGATGTTAAGAGTGAGTGTTAATTGTTGATTATTTCTTTAATCTACTTCCTGTTGAGTGCTGTCCCAAAGTGATGGATTATTGGAGTTACTGATGACTTTTGATACCAAGGAACTGAATTTGAAAGTGAAATGTGAGCCCTTGTTCTTTACTCAATTTCAATTTGAATTCCGATTCTGCACCTGAATTCTAAAGAGAGGGCGGAGTTCTTTATTTGTCTCCCATTTATTTTAGATTTTCACATTTTTGAATAGCTTAATGTTCTGTATTGTCTGATTGGAACATATGAGTCATTGAATAACTAATACTCAATTGTGCTAGCCCTTTTTTTTTGTATGTGAACTTTGCTAACTTGAACTTGTTAACCTGGTAACTTCTTTATTCATTGGCATAAACTACTTAGAACACCATTGTACCTATGTTTTCTTGGGAATCTAAGTGTGTAGTGCTTGCTTGTGGTATCAGGTAATACTAACCCCCTATAAAAGCCAAACCAAATTGCAAAAATTTCTCATGGCATTAAGACTTTCATCCGTTGTCTCCTCCACAGTGGTCTGCCGGCGACTTCCCCTCGTTGGTGCTTTTTGTGTGCTTAGTTTCGGTCTTTCCAATCTCTGCTCTATTACTCTATCCCCTAGAACAGGGTGTGCTCAATCTTTCCCTTTTGTTCCTCTTTTACGGTAACTTTTACTTTGTTTATTTTGACCGACTAATATCTACTTTGTTTGCTCAGTTACCTCCCTTGTTCATCTTTTGTTGGTTACATTCTAAGTGATAAACATTAATCCAAAGGCTATAGTTAATATTTTTCCTCGATATCCATAGGTCAAGATTTGGTCAGCAGGCTCTAGTAAAGAAAGTCCATAACGCAAGGATGGAAGCTGACAAGATCACAGTGCCCAGCATTGTTGTTTATGTTACTGTTCCAAATAAGGAAGCAGGTTTATTCCCATCTTTTTACTTATGGTCTGTATTCGTATCTTGGAAATGTTTTTGATTGTTTGTAGTGGTTAGTATTAGGTAAGGACTTGTTAGAAAAAAAAAAAAACATGGATGATGAGGGCTTGAAACTTGTGGAAAAACCTAGTTATTGATCTTTTTTTTTCCCGGAATTCTGTGCAGGGAAAAAACTTGCCGAAAGCATAGTCAAGGAACATCTTGCAGCGTGTGTTAATCGAGTACCAGGTCGGAGCTTCTGTTTGAGTAAATTGTTTTATGTTTCTGATCCTTTTGAAGGATGCACATTATTTATTTAGAATCTTGCTTTGGCTACTTTTGAGGTCACCTGTTATTAGATTGAGCTGTTTTCAGCTTGGAATTGTGCTTCTGTTATGAAAAATAATTCTCTTAACTTTTATATGCAGGTGTTGAATCAGTCTATGAGTGGAAGGGAGAGGTAAAAATAAATATGATGAGCTTTATATTTGTCTGTTTATTTATTTATCTATGAATGTGTTCTTAGAATGTTGAGTATTGATTTTGCTCCAAGGCCAGTGCTAGCTAGAACACTGAACTTGTGGTCATAAGTTACAGAAAAATTATGTTTGTGGTCATTTTCTTGTGCAAACAGATTCAAACTGATTCTGAAGAGCTGCTTATAATCAAGACCCGGGAGTCTCTTCTAGAAGCATTAACAGCGCATGTGAAAAACAATCATGAATATGAGTGAGTACTTGAATCCATTCCTACTCACCGGAAAATGGATCATAATCTGTAAAGTGGTATGATAAAAACCAATAATGTATCTGTACCAGATAGTGGCAGGATATATATGTTGGGGACTCGACACTTGATTATTTTAGTTGGGGACTGAATACTAAATACAAGATTTTGTTGAGAACTACTAGAGTTGTCACACCGACAGCCCCCGATAAAATGTATATATTTATTATTTTTCTATCATCGAGACCTTCAACTCTTAGCATCTTGTGCTCCTGTTCATGTTTGTATTTTATTGGCAGTTTTTAATTAATGATCAAACAATCCAAAAGCTATAGTTATTTAACTTCTGTTATTTGTTAATAAAATCAGCAGTCACAATTTTTATTTCGTTATTCTCAATTTCTCGATATAACAGGCTGTTATTGTTTTCATAGGGTTCCTGAGGTAATTGCCTTGCCTATAACTGGTGGCAATTTACAGTACTTGGAGTGGATTAAGAACAGTACAAGGGACTAAGATGGCCTGGAGAAACATTGCATTGGGTTGTTTTTCAGATGTATCTGTACATTTTGGCAGCTTGCTCACTTAAATACCTGTAATAATCTTCTTACCTTTTGGTGTCATCTGAATATGTATGATGATATTGATGATATTCAGACAGTCTTGTCGAATATTTTGGACTGAAGGATGATGTGGCTCTAATTTCTGGTTGTTACATGAAATTATATTTGCTATATCTGTTGTTAAATTTTTGGCAAACATGCCTAGGATGCAGATGGGCTAATCCATGTCTCACATTGCTTCAGTTTATTCAATAATATTCTTTGTGATATAACACTTAGAATAGCTCTGTGGATCGGCTTGAGTGGTGAACTTGGGTTTGGCCAGTCCGGAGGAGTTTTAGCTCGGTTTCTGGAATAGACCTCGTCGGGAGTTCACTTGTACAGATCAGGGTACGGGTCGATCTGATTAGAAGGCTTTGAGGTCGTATTCCTCTGGGAGCTCAGTAAGGCGACGTGACATCATGATTTGGAGGTTGTAATGTTAAAAGGTCGAGGTCGTAGTTGCGACTTGGATAAAGCTGTGGCAGTTGGGTTGCGAGGTCGTCTAAGCGAACTAAGGACCTAAGTGTATGTAAGAGGGGTTATAATCCTTTAAGGATGGTAAATGCATCTTGCTCACATCTTAGAGACGTAATGAGCTGGAAAATCAGATATGAAGATCTCTTTCTTAAGGATTTTGCTTGAGCACCAATACACCCTACTATATAAAGGTGACCATGGTTTATTTTACGTATAACATATATTCACATACTTAAGCGTATACTTATATTTTTACCCACTAGCAGATCCGGTTCAACAACAATTTGCATATCAAATTGGCAAGGGGGGAAGAGCTTAGTTCTTTTATCGGCTATAAGGGACTAATATATTCTCATTGTGGTGTTCTATGAGGAATGTCGTATTGTTCAAGTCACAAATCTAGTCTACAAAAATAAGCCTAAGCGCAATAGAATTTAAAAATTTTGCAGGCTCTGAGGAACTACACGGCTTACGGGTCTGGACGAACGGTCCTGAGATGTTCTTCTTGCCACATCCTCCTCTCCTTGCTCTGTCCAATCTTGTCTCGCCGGTCGCCGGTCTGCGGAGTATGCGCGACTGTCGGGTGTCGATCGGTTGTTGCGCTGGTGGCGTGCGGCGTCTCGCGGCTGGGCTGGAGCTGGTTACTGCAATATGGCGTCTAGCATGCGACGTCTCGTGCGGGTGCTGCGTGCAGTCGCTGCTCGATTGCGGCTGGCTCACATGTGGCTGGGCTGCGGCGGTCACGGATGGGGCGCAGTGTTGCACGAGTTGCGTCGGGTGACCTCAAATCTTCTGTTGTATGAGCCGACACTGTCTCCAATCGTCTTGGTGGGTGACGTGCTCGAAGATCTCTTGAGTGAGATTTTTAAGAGACTCGGCGTGTGTTTATGCGTGCATGCTTATCTTTCTCGAATCTCAAAATATGTGGTTTATTTATAGGCTACAACTGGGACCATAAGGATGTGCTAAATATGGGCTTCCCAAGTATGGGCCTAACAGTGGGCCATGCCCACTCTGCTCATACTTAAATAATATTTCAGCCCATTAAAGAAATATCATTGCACTCCTTTAACTCCCAAATTACGTTTGAGGCTCCAATTATAATTACTTGATTTACCTTCACGTGTTTAAGATATTATGTTCTTCAATCAATTTAATTACGGACAATGTAATAAATTGACTTATTGATTTGAAGTTAGTACCACTCAAGTATTTATTATTATGTCAGAACCCAATGCGCCCGCAGGGCATAACATAATAACTTTTCTTGATCTCACTTTGAGAACATCATCAGACTAAGACACACGGTGACCGTAAATATCCGAACAACACTCCATACACACAACATCACTACCCAACTCAAATAAGATTATTGACCCAACAAAATGGATCTCACTTTTTAGTGAATCAAAGTAGCACCTACTGTATGCGCGTGCCTGTTTATATTTTACGGGTTCAGAGTACACAGTAATTAACCGAGGACTTGTTCGTTTACTTGGTCAATATAAAACAAACTTATCCTCTTTGGGATCTGTTCAATACACAAAGTGTACTAGTGTAATCAATCAGTCAAGATAGACTGTACAATTGACACTACAACCGTTCATGATGGGTTGTTCATTTCCATCTAGGTTGTGAACTGATTATTCATTATTTACAAGTAATTGATAATATGATCTTCTGTCCATCCGTGATGAACCAAAATTATTTAAGTGTAGAACATCAGAACATATAACTGTTTACTTAAACATGATTCTCATTCAACAAAAAATAGTGTAAATAACTCATAAAGTCAAACTTTCAGTATATACACTAACAATCTTCCACTTATACTTAAAGCTTTCGTCTTTTCTAGTATACATCATTGAATCCTTATATTAAAAGACTATGTCGGTCCTATTGCCAACATCTGACTCTCATTCCATCCATGTGTCTGTTGAAGACCTTCGTTGGCAGACTCTTCGTAAAAGGATCAACTAGGTTGTCTTCCGATGCTATCTTGGCAATAATTTCTTGTATCAGGTGGTACTTACGCTCTATGTGTTTACTCGCCTTATAGGCTCGTGGCTCCCTCAAGTTTGCTACTGCACCACTGTTATCACAGTAAACTGTAATACCTCGTGGCAAACTCGGTATCACATCTAAGTCCAATGGAAGTTCCTAACCCATACAGCTTCCTTCGCTGCATCAGAAGCTGCGATGCACTCGACTTCTTTGGTGGAGCCTGTCACGCATTTCTGCTTGATACTCCACCATACTATGGCCCCACCTCCCAGAGTAAGCACAAACCATGAGATAGATTTATTTTCGTCTCGGTCTGACTGAAAGTTGGAATCAGTGTAACCCACAAGGATCAATTGGTCCATTCGGTAGACCAACATCTAGTCCTTGGTCCTTTTTAGGTACCTTAGTATATGCTTTACTGTAGTCCAATGACCCTGTCCTGAGTTACTTTGATACCTACTTACCATGTCTACCGCATAGCAAATATCTGACCTACACAACATGACATACATGAGACTTCCTATTTTTGAAACATAAGGAACCTTTCTCATGTCCTCTATCTCTTGAGGCGTCTTGGGAGATATCTCCTTGGATAGTAGAACATGCCGAAAGGGTAGTAACACTCTCTTAGAATCTTGTATGCTAAAACGAGCTAGGACAATGTCTATGTACGAAGATTAGGATAAACACAATATTCTCTTATCGCGGTGTTGACTCACGTTGATGCCGAGAATGTGTTCTGCTTCTCCCAAATCCCTCATATTAAACTGTTCAGACAACCATACCTTTACATCTGACAACACCTTTACATTGTTTTCAATGAGAAAGATGTCGTCTATGTACAACACAAGAAACACCACCATATTTCCATCACTTTTTTTTTGTATACACAGTGCTTATCTAAACGTTGAAAAAATCTGTTAAAATTAACGGTCGCCGCCGCCTACCACTGCCGTCTTTAGTGGTGGATTTCAACAAATCATATGTCATTTTTAAGCTCTCGACTCGACCTATCCAACTATATTTTTATTTCATCATACGATATCTGGAAGTTCGTCAAAATTGTCATTAAAAGTTCTAAAAATTTTTGGACAAAATACACCTTAAAATTTGGCCAAGTGCTGCTAAAGATCCGACCGTTGGATATTTATGAAAAGTATACGTATGAAACACAATTTCTTGCGGAATCCAACGGTGTAGCCCAATCATCAACCGACTCTCTCGATTGCATGAGATAAGCCGTCAAAGTTTCCAATTTTTCCAACCACTGCAACTCACTTAAAAGTTAGATACTTTTCATCTTATCTCCGACAATTTAGAGACGCCATTGATGATCAGAATATATCATTAAATTCCTCAAAAGATTGGGTTTCCACACATGTATTATTCTTAAATTCCTAATTATGGGATCTTCACTAATACTCGGTCAAAATTTAAAGCGTATTTTAGCCAAATTTTTTTGAAAACTTTAACAACCATTTTAACGAATTTCGAGGTATCATATGCTTAGATAAAAGATATCACCGGATATGTCGAGTCGAGAACTTCAAACGGTATATGATTTGTTAAAATTCACCACATGAGACAATGGCAGCGGGTGACGGAAGGCGACGACAATTAATATTAATATTTCTTCAACGTACGACTTTGAGCTAAAAACGATTGATTTTAAAATTTTTTGTAACCAATGGTCCCTCGTATAAATATACAGTTCTTTTACTCGTCAAACAGGTTCTGATTCCTTCTATTCCCTTTGCCTCCCTCTTGTTTCCTAAAAAAACATAATTAAAGAGAGAGAGGGAACTCTCTCTCTCCCCCCCCTCTCTCTCTCCTTCTCTCCTATGTGTGCGTTTTCCCATCACTCTCTGAACCGTGAAAAAGGAATTAAGTAAAAGGAGGGTCTTTACCTTTTCAAGTGGCTCAATGGGAGAGAGAGTAGAGGAAAAAGATAAAGGGGTTTTAATGGTGGATGGGTTAATTGAGGGTATGCCTATTTTTGTAAAAGAGCTAATCGCGGGTGGAGTGGCTGGTGGATTTGCCAAGACTGCTGTTGCCCCTCTTGAGCGCATCAAGATACTTTTCCAGGTAATCATTTTTTGTTTTGTTTGTTATCTGATTTTGGGATGATCATCCATTTTTCCTGTCTTGGTTGTTACGGGTTTTGAGTATTGCATTAGCTTGTGGTTCAGTATTATTGATCTAGTTAAGCAGGCTGATCATCGTTTTTTTTTTTTCAAGGTAATGGTTTTGTCTTTAATTAGTTTGTCGTTTTCTTACTACTTTAATTCGTACAATGTGGAGATAGAGAGTTAGGGTGAATCTTTTAGCATATTTGATTCCATGTGTTGCTGAATTCGGAAGTTACATTTGCGTATGTATAAACATGATGATTTATAACAAAAGGTCATTATATTGCCATAATTGATGTGAAGAATATGAATCTTGGAATGCTACTTGGAGAAACATTACTATATAGTTACCTCATTCCATCGTTTTATAAGTGAAATTTACTAGGATTTACCCTGCTTTTAACTGCACTGCTGTTTCCTTTCCTGATCTAACAGCTTTTCATGTACTGCTGAATGTAGGTTACCCCAAATAATGCCTTTTTAGCAAGATCTTGCATCGTTTTCCTGTTGAATCTACAATTTAGTCAATTAACTTAACTGGATTAGTTTTCTCTCCAAAACTCTATAGAGTTATGTAGCCAGCAATCTCCAATCACAATTTATTATTTCCTAGTTATTATTTATTGCTGCTTAAAAGAATGGATTTCTGTCAAATACGATCCATAGACATTCCATGGGGATTGACTATAATTAACTTCTGCTATATATATTATATACTTTGCTCTGAGTAGTTATTTTCTGATTGGCTCTGAGTTCATTGAGCGTTAAAAAGGGATGAGCTGAGTCCGTAAACTGAAAGTTTCTGTTATTATTCATATATTTTCCCAGACCAGAAGAGCTGAGTTCCACAGTCTTGGCCTGTTGGGATCCTTTTCAAAAATTGCAAAAACAGAAGGGGTGCTTGGTTTTTACAGGTAGCCTTGGCCTTTTCATCTATTTATATTTTGAAATAAATCAATCATTTTCCTCATTTGACACTTTCACAAATCATCATTTTATATTATTAAATGTGTGTGGTTGTGGTTATTCTTAGAGGGAATGGAGCTAGTGTTGCACGTATAGTGCCTTATGCGGCATTGCATTACATGGCATATGAAGAATATCGAAAATGGATAATCTTGGGGTTTCCTGGCTATGGGAGAGGTCCTGTCCTTGATCTTATAGCTGGTTCATTTGCTGGAGGAACGGCTGTGATTTGTACTTACCCACTCGATTTAGTTCGTACTAAATTGGCTTATCAGGCAAGTATCAATAAAACATACATTGTAGTATCACGAAAAACATCATTTCTAAGATAATAATAATGAAATAAAATAAAAGTGTTGAGAAAGAAAAATAAGCTACTTCCCTTATTTCTCACTTTTAGGTTTGTTGACCTGAAAAGATGTCATATGTTGTAGGGTGATACCACAAAGCCTATCCATGTGGATGAGTCTTACAAAATTTCAGAAAATAAATAAAGTAACCCAAAACTAAAAGTAACCACTTCATAATGATTTTTTATTCACAATCTGTACCTTGCATAACTAGTGTATAAACTGATGAATGTAAGTATTTCATCCATTTTCATTTTTGCTTTGAAGGAAAATTGAGCAATGATTTTAATAGTACAGTGCAGATTGTTGGGTCCTCTAAAGTCAGTGTTCAAAGGCAGTCCTCAAGAGACCTAGTATATAAAGGAATTCGACACTGTTTTTCCAGCATATATAAAGAAGCTGGACTAAGAGGTCTTTACAGAGGTGTTGGTATGTGGCTATGGTCCTTTATGGTTTGAAATGAAAAATTTTGCTCGACTTATTTTTGCGAACTCTAATAAGTGCCCATACGATGGTTCTTTTCAGCTCCATCACTATATGGAATATTTCCATACGCGGGACTGAAGTTCTATTTTTATGAAGAGATGAAAAGGCATGTTCCAGAAGATCACAAAAAGGACATTACGGTCAAACTTGTGTGTGGCTCAGTCGCTGGTTTACTGGGTCAGACTTTCACTTACCCTCTTGATGTTGTCAGGCGGCAAATGCAGGTAAGGGTTCATTCGTTGTCTGATATTTATGAATACCACCTTCTAATTTTGATGTAATTACAACAAAACCCAGTCTTTCAAATTGCAAAACACCCTTTTGTGAGTTTAACTTTATTATATTTATAGGGGGAGCTGTAATTATTTCTTTATATGTGACGGTGGTTTTTCAAATTTTTTTGTTTATGAATGAGGAAAATATAAGATGGAATCTTTGTGTGTTTTTGAAATTTCTGTGTGTTCCGTTGTAGATGTCTCAAACCTTAGAGTAGTTTTGTAAGGGAAAAATTCATGTATTGTACCCCAATTTTACCCCGATTTAACTTTTGGTACATCAAGTTTCCACTTAATTAGTTTTGGTACTCAACATTTTGTCTGATAATTACTTTTCATCCGTTCCATTAAAAGCCATTTAAAAACTAACGGTCTTAGTCCATTGCTGTCTGCTGCTGCAGGCGGAAAATTTGCAGAAAATCCTAAATAATAATAACAAAGAAATGTTGAAAATAGAGCTCCAGTGGGCCATATGAACTCCAAATGTACAATTGATTTGGGGTATTGCGGCTCATGAAAAGAGGAACAAAACAATAGTTCATCCATCAATTTAGACAATCAAATCATGGGGAATTGATGGTTGAAGTCTCCATCTTACCTCCACATGTTGCTGGATATTAGAAACTTTCCTTACACTGGCGATTGAGAGTCCGATTGACAATTTGGAGATGCCATTGGGTTCCTAAAAAAAAAAAAAAAAAAAAGATCTAAGCATATGCTGTTCATGAAAATCAAATGGTCGGATATATAGTGAAATTTTGATAAATTTTAAGATGTATATTTTTTCCTAAAAAACTTTAACAATGATTTGACGAACTTGTAGGCATTATATGAAGGTATTAACAATGTCGTTGGATAGATCAGAGTCTTGATTTTCAAAATGGTATATAATTAGTTGAGATCCACCTCTGGTATCGGTTGGGCGGCGCCGCGGCGGCCAGAGGTGAGGAATCGACGGTGTTTTTTACAAAACCATTAGTTTTTAACGAAATGGATCAAAAGTAGATATGTAGAATATTATACATGTGACTTAAAATTAACGATACAAAGATAATTTTAAATAAAAGCTCGGGTCTTACCAGGTGGAGAGGCTCGTGACGTCTAACTACAACAATGCATCAAGAGGGACTATAGAGACACTTATCATGATCCTCCGGACACAAGGATGGAAGCAGTTGTTTTCTGGGCTCAGCATCAACTACCTTAAGGTAATCCAGTAATGAATTTTCTAATTATCAAACTTGTTTCTCTTTTTTCTGTGATTTTTTTTTTGTTTTTTTTTTGCATGTGTCGTGGACTAAGCTTAACATATTGAAATCTCAGGTTGTACCTTCTGTAGCCATTGGATTTACCGTTTACGATGTTGCCAAGGCATACCTACGGGTGCCATCAAGAGATGAGACTGTGGCTGAAGTTGGTAATAATAACCCGAAAATTATTCAGCCATCTTCTCTGCCTTCTCCACCTTCTGAAACTCATCAATAGTCATATGTTCTTTTGCAATGCGGGATTTTGTTTCCCATTCTTTTTTCCGGCTCATAGA